AAGCCACTTCTGTATCCAATTGGCAAGCTCTCCCTGAATCCCCTGTGATCCATCTTTACTAACCAGTCTACCATCCAGAACCTTGTCAAAGACTAAAGTCTATGTGAACAATGTGTACTGCTCAAACTTCATCTATCTTCTTGGTCATGTCTTCAAAACACTTCATCAAGTTTGAAAGACACAATTTCCCTCACACAAAGCCATGCTGACTATCCCTAATCAGTCCTTGCCTCTCCAAATGTATGTAAGTTCTGTGTCTCAGAATCCCCTCCAACAACTTACCAGCACTAACATCAGACTCATTGGTCTATAGTTCCCTGGTTTTTCTTTGCAGCTTTTCTTAAATAAAGGCACAAGATTAGACACAGTCTTCTGGCACCTCACCTGTGGTTGTAGACGACAAATATTTCTGCTGGGGGCCCCCCAGTTTCATTTCTAGCTTCCCACAATGTCTTGGGATACACTTGATCAGGTCTCGGGGATTTATCTATCTTTTAAATCTGCAGTTCTTTGTTTTGTTTAAGAAAATCTTAAAACCTTACTACATGTGACTCCAGATCAACAGCTATGTGGTTGGCTCTTAACTGCCTACTGAAATGGCCAAGCAAGCCCTGCAGTTCCAAAGTGGTTGGGGTGAGCAATAAATGTTGACCTAGCTAGCAGTGTTCCATGAATGAATTTTATAAAATACTATCACAGGCAATCCGCTATTTTGATTGTGTACTTTGTTTATTTTCCTAACTTGCTGACTTCAGAGCTGCTCTTGGCAGCAAAACTAAGTGCATAAGCAGTGTACAGTTCCTCGCTGTCTCTGAGCATTTCTGTCTAGCCTTGCGGCGCTAAATGTAAATATTCTGTCACAAAGTTACTTTAGGATCACATCCATATTTTTGTGGAAAGCATGCACTGATCTGTTGCTATAAACAGCAAATTAATTATAATGTCTGTATGCAGTAACTATAAAGAAATATATTGCTGTATATGGTGCATGTCTGAAAACCCTAATCAGTGGTTTCTTTCTGGAGTATTTCAATACATTTGATGCTAGGCTTGTTCAACATAACTCATTAATACATCAGTCTTTTGCTATGATTCATTGTAAATGAGTATCATCCTTTCTTTAAAGTCTCTAAATGGCAGCTGGAATAATAGCAGCAGAAATTAAGTATTAGCATTGGAAAGAACAGGAAATTCTATTTAACTGCATAAATGCAAGGCCACATAGTGATGATATTATCTTCATGTTAACAGCCCTAATCCCAATCCATGTTTTCTGTAAAAACCACTCGATGTTGCAATCAATTGCATTCTAGCTTGGTGAGTTGCGAATCTGGGATGGTTATTCCCCAGTAGGAGCCCTTTATTTTATGTGGAAGTCAGATAATTTCACAGAGCTTATCGGCAAAAGCCTTGTAAGATAAAGTTCTTATCCAATTGGACTATTTAATTTATGGAACAAAAATAGAAATAATTATGTTCAGGGAGAAGGGTCTCAGGAAGGGTCACTCAAGCTGAAATATTAACGATTTCTCTCCACAGATGCTGCCAGACCTGTTGAGCTTTTCCAGCAATTTCTACTTTTGTATTTTTCTTCAGTGATGGACGGTTCACAGTATTCTGGGTGTGGTCCGACTAGCACAGTTTTAACATGGCTTCAGTATTTTGTATGCTCCATTCCATTTGAAATAAAGATCAACATTCCATTTGCCTTCTCAATTACACATGCACAAATCCTTCTATTCTGTAGCTTTCTGGAGTGTCTCTCTATTTAAATAATATTCAGACTTTCTATTCTTCCTAAGTGCATAACCTTACACTTTCCCACATTATATTCCATCTGCTATGTTTTTACCCAGTCACTTAACCTGCCTGTAGCCTTCTGCAGAGCCTTTGTGTCATCCAACATTTGCCTTCCCATCTATTTTGTGTCATCTGAAAACTTGGCAGTAGATTTATTTCCCCCAGCCGTGCCATTGATATATGTTGCAAATATGTTGTAAATACACTAATTTGAGGCACTCATCTAGTTACAGTATGCCATCCTGAAGATGTCCTCTTTATTCCAATGTTCTGTTTTCTGTTAATAAGCCAATCCTCCAACCATGTTAATATTATCCACAGCACCAGGGGATCTTGTCTTAAGTTGATTTATATGTAGTTCCTTGAAATGACTTTTGGAAATCAAACTATATTACATCCACTACTTCCCCATTATCCTGCTGATTACCACCTCCAAAAAATTCTAGTAAATTTGTCAGGTATGATTTCCCCTTCATGAAGCCTTGCTGACTCTTCTTGATTCTATGATGTATTTCTAAATGCTATGTTATTCTATCCTTTTATATTAACATTTCCTGGTAACCGATGTTAAACGAAGTTGTCAGTTTTTTTTTGTCTGTCTCCCTTTTTTAACAAGTGTCCTGTACTGGCAGTCCCAGTCCTCTGGGATTTTCCCAGAATCTAATGTTTCTTGGAGAATTAATCCAGTGGATCCAGTAATTAAGCACCTACTTCCTTTTAGAACACCATTTCCTGCAAGGTCCCCTCAAAGGTGCAGACCATCCTGACAGGTTTGCAACTACATCCAGATTCTATTCTCCAAAAAGCAACTATTTGTAAAACTATTTTGAGTTGGCCTTTACATAAAGTAAAAGACTTGCATTATATATAAAATATCACTTTTTCATGACCTCAGTGTCCCAAAGTGATTTACAGCCAATGAGGTATTTCAGAAGTGTAGCCATTGCTTTAATGTACAAACAATGGCAGCTGCCTTATGCGTGACAAATTCACACAAACAGCAATAAAATGAATAGCTAGATCATGTGTTTTGGATGGTGTTGGTTGAGGGATAAATGCTGGCTAGAACAATGATCTTGCTTTTCCATAGAATCCCTACAGTGTGGAAACAGGCCATTCGGCCCAACAAGTCCACACCACCCCTCTGAAGAGCATCCCAACCAGGCCCATTCCCCTAATTTCCTGTGTCTAACCCACCTAACCTAAACATCCCTGGGCACTATGGGCAATTTAGCATGGCCAATCCACTAACCTGCACATCTTTGGACTGTGAGAGGAAACCGGAGCACCCGGAGGAAACCCACACAGACACAGGGAGAATGTGCAAACTCCACACAGACAGTCACCCAAAGGTGGAATCGAACCTGGGTCCCTGGCACTCTGAGGCAGCAGTGCTAACCACTGAACCAACATGCATTTTCTTGGAAATTCACCTTGTGAGATCATTTAAGCCCATCTGAGAAGGCAGATGGGGCTTTAGTTTAACAAATCCTTTGAAAGATGGCATCTGTAGCCATCCAGCACTGTATTTGATTCTGTGCTTGGCTCTCTAGAGTGGGACCTTAGCCCATACATGTGCTTATAGCACTGAGGCAAAGAGGACAGAAATAACAGAACATTAAAGGCTGTATGAATCAGTCTTTATTTTTCTTTTTTAATGATCCCCAGGTATTCCAATGCACGTTATAGCCATTGAAATTGCATTGTAATGGAGGAAGCAGCAGTTAATATGG